TTTGGGGACAGGGATATTTGGGGACAGGAACATTTGGGGTCTCACCTGCTGGGCCACCTCGGGCTTGGGCCCGAGCTCGAGCAGGCGCCGGGCGAAGGTGGCGGCGCTTTTGAAGTTCTTGAGTTTGAAGAAGAGGTTGAGGGCGGTGCGGAGCACCAGGATCATGTGCACGGGCTGCAGGTTGGAGTGTGTGAAGTAGGCGGCCATCTGCCAGGGAAAGGATGGAAAATCGGGATTAAATCCTTGGGAATAACGGGAATTATGACAGGGAATCCCTCGGTTCCGGGCAGCCCCTGTTGTGTTCGAGTTGAAGGCAGAATTCTGAATTTCCAGTGAGTTTTTTCCCACTTCAGGAATCTCACATTTTCCCTTTCAGGAATCACGTATTTTCTCCTCAAAAATCCCACATTTTCCCCTCAGGAATTCCATGTTTTTCTCCTCAGAAATTCCATGGCTTTCCCCCTCAGAAATTCCCACATTTCCCCCCTCAGAAATTTCATGCTTTCCCCCTCAGGAATTCCCACATTTTCCCCTCAGTAGTTCCCACATTTCTTCCTCAGTAATTCCCACATTTCCCCCTCAGAAATTCCATGCTTTCCCCCTCAGAAATTCCACGTTTTTCCCCTGAGTAATTCCATGTTTTTCCCCTCACTAATTCCATGTTTTTCCCCTCATAAATTCCGTGTTTTTCCCCCCAGACCCCCTCACCTCACAGATTCTCTTCTGCTGCTCCAGCGTTTCCTTGGGCAGTTTCTTCCTCTCGATCTCCATGGACAATCCCACGATGTATTCCCGGCAAATGGCGACCAGCTGCTGAGCCTTGGGGACAAATCCAGGGACAAATCAAACCCTTCCCTGGGGACACCCCGGCATCGGGATTCCCGTATTTCCCCCTCAGAAATGCCACGTTTTCCCCTCAGGAATTCCCACATTTCCCCGTCACAATTCTCTCATTTCCCCTTCACAATTCCCCCATTCCCCCTTCACAATTCCCCCATTTTCCCCTCACAGTTCCCACATTTTCCCCCTCACAATTCCCACATTTCCCCTCACAATTCCCCCATCCTCCCCTCACAATTCCCCCATTCCCCCTCACAATTCCCCCATTTCCCCTCACCTCGGCGATCTCCTGCTTGTTGTCCACCACCAGCAGGGGCACGCTGAGCAGGATGAGCCGGAATTTCTCCACGGCCTCCTCGAATTTGCCGGCCGTGGTGAGTTGGTAGCAGAGCTGCAGCCGCTGGATCAGATCCGTCAGCTTCAGCCCCACGGCCGGCAGCGCATTCTTCAGGCCGCCCTCCTTCCTGGAGCCCCCAAAATTCGGGATTGATTCGGGGATCAGCATTGATTGGGGATCAGCATTGATTAGGGACAAGGGCTGTGTGAGCCCCCTCCTTCCTGGAGCCCCCAAAATTCGGGATTGATTTGGGGATCACCATTGATTGGGGATCAGCATTGATTAGGGATCAGGGCTGTGTGAGCCCTCTCCTTCCTGAACCCCGGAAAATTCGGGATTGATTCGGGGATCAGCATTGATTGGGGATCAGGCCTGTGTGAGCCCCCTCCTTCCCGAACCCCAGAAAATTCGGGATTGATTCGGGGATCAGCATTGATTGGGGATCAGCATTGATTGGGGATCAGGCCTGTGTGAGCCCCCTCCTTCCTGAACCCCCCAAAATTCGGGATTGATTCGGGGATCAGGATCGATTTAGGGCTCAGGGCTATGTGAGCCTCCTTCCTGAACCCCAGAAAATTCGGGATTGATTCGGGGATCAGCATTGATTGGGGATCAGGATCGATTTAGGGATCAGGGCTGTGTGAGCCTCCTTCCCGAACCCCAGAAAATTCGGGATTGATTTAGGGATCAGGGCTGTGTGAGCCTCCTTCTCGAACCCCAGAAAATTCAGGATTTAGGGATCAGGATTGATTGATTTAGGGATCAGGGTTCCCCCTCTTTCCTGCCATCCCAAAATTTGGGATTTAGGGATCAGGGGAGAGCAGGAGTTGTCTGGGCCAGGTGAGGGTAGGATGGAGTTCCAGGAGCAGCAAGGCCAGAGAATTCCTGGGAATTCCCTCCACCTCCCTCAGTCCCTTCCAATGGTTCCCAACCCTTTTTCCATGGAAAAATCATCCCAAATATCCAACCTAAACCTCTCCTGGTGCAACTCGAGGACTTCCCTCTCATCCCATCCCTGTTCTCTGGGATCAGATCCCAAAATCCCCCCTGGATCCCCCCTTTTCTCCAGCCTGAGCCCCTCCAGGATTCTCCATTCCCTTCTCCAGCTGCTCCATTCCCTGAACATCCCCATTCATTCCATTAAAATCCAGCCCTGCACATTCCCTGGATTTTGCCCCAAACCCATCTGTGCCCCTCACAATTCCCAGAAACTGGGAATTCCAGCTCCTCCCCATCCCTGCAGGGCATTCCCAAGGAATTCCCAGACTTCACTCTGGGTGTCCAAACAGGAATCAGCCACAGCCCAGACTCGCTGACCCCATTCCCAACCTGAGAAATCCGGGATTTCTCCCCAGGAAAAGCATTCCCAGGAGGCTGGAAAACCCCTGGAACATGGGAAGGGCTGGTCCCAGCGCTCACCAGTTGCGGTGTGGGAATCCATAGAGGGCAGGGAGGCTGGGAAGAGCCTGGAATGTCGTCCGGCCTCGGGAAAAGGTCTGCAGGAAGAGCTGCTTGTAGGGGCCAAAGTTGGTCACTCCCACCTGGTCATGGAGCAGCTGAGGGGGGAAAAAAAAAATTAAAATATCATGGATTGGGTCAGGAAAAAAAAAAACCTGGATCAGGCAGCACCAAGGACTCGCTCTGGGTCAAATCCCAAAAATACGGGGATGGAATATTCCCAAATGGACTCGCAGCAAAGATCTGGGGTGGAGTGGGTAAAATAAAGAGGAAAGGAGGAGCTTTTCCATCAAAAAAATTCCATGGAAAACTCACCCTCATGGCTGTCTCGAAGGATCCTGCCAGGATGTGATCCACGGGGAGCTGGGAATTGTTGCACCACACCTGGAAAAGAGGGGAGGGGAAGAATCCAGGTGGGATTGGGACGGGCAGAGTTCTCACAATGGAATTCCCACGCTGGGCTCACAAATCCCCCCCCCCCAAAAAAAAGCCCCAAAAAGAAGAGGGAAAGGAGGAAATTCCCAGTTTTCCAAGGAAATCCAAGGATTTTACCTGGGCTGGGCTGGTGCCTTTGGTGGGGGGCACAAAGAACCCGTCCTCAGCCGCTCCCGCAGGGCCGGCGGGGACATCCTGAGGGAAAAATCCCAAAATTCCAGCTGAAATCGCAGCTGGACGATCCCACAGAACATTCCCTGCTTCCCCAATTCCCAGGGAATCGGCGCTGGGGTGCCCCAGGATTCTCCTACCAGCTCGGGGGGAAGATCCAAATCTTCCTCCACTTCCCATCCTCCTCCTTCCTCCTGCCCTTTTCCCGTTCCTTCCTCTCCGAATCCTTCCCCGGCGTCCACGAATCCGTCTGTGGGGGAGCAGGGAATGCCACAGGGATGCCCTGGAGCACAGGGAACGGGGGGTTTTTCCCAAAGGGAAATTCCAGAGGGATTTTCCCACCTTCATCCAGCTGCAGCTCGGCGTCCTCGCCCCAGCCCTCGGTGCCCACGGTGTCCATGTCGATGTCGGCGGCCAGGGCTCCTCCTTTCCCTAAAGGAAAAAAAAAAAAAGTGAAAAGCCATCAGGAAAGAATTCCAGGAGGGGAAAACCCCACCCTGCAGCTGCACTGTTGCATCTCCCTGTGGAATTTTGTGGAATTTCGGGATTTCTGAGGGTGGGGTGGGATTGATCCCCAGCTGGACACCCGGAATTCCCTGCAGGGATGGGGATCCGACCCTCCCCGAGCCCCTTTTGGTGCTTCCCAACCCTTTTTCCATGGAAAAATCATCCCAGATTTCCCACCCTGACCCAGCTCGAGGCCGTTCTCTCTTGTCCTGTCCCATTCCCTGGGATCAGATCCCAAATCCCCCCTGGCAGATCCCGAAATTCCCCCTGGATTTCCCCTCAGGATTCTCCATTCCCTTCTCCAGCCGCTCATTCCATGATTTCCCACAGCCCTGGCCATTCCCAGGGGTCAATCCCAGTCCTGATCCCATTCCCACCCCCCTGGCCTCACACCCAGCTCCTCTCCCACTTTTCCATCCCCTTCCCACAACATTCCACGGCTCTGCCACGACCGCAGCCCATGGGAACCCCCAGAGCAGATCCCAAATCCCGGGAATCCCGGGAATCCCGACCTTTCCCGGCGATGGAGCCCTCGAAGAATCCTTTGGACACGGTCAGGAGGGGCCAGTTGGTGTCCAGGGGCAGCACCGGGGCCGGCGGCTGCAGCAGCCGCGCCTCGGGATCCACGGCCGGGATCTGGGATGGGCCCGGAAAACGTCGGGATACACCAGGAAAAATCCCGTCCCCTGCGATCCCAACCCTGCCCTGAGGTGGGGATGCTCCTCCCTCCTTCCCATTGTCACCTCCTTCCCAAATTCCCGGAGTTTTCCAGCATTTCCCCCGTTCTCCCCACTCCCTCCTTCCCGAATTCCACGAGTTTTCCTCACTGGATGTGTCGCTGTCTCCTTCCCAAATTCCTAGTGTTTTCCAACATTTCCCCCATCCTTGCTGCTCCCTCCTTCCCGAAGTTTCCAGGCAGGATTTCTCCCATCCCCTCCCTCCTGAATTCCCGGATTTTTCCCGGAGTTTTCCCGGATTTTTCCAGGAGTTTTCCCAGATTTTTCCCACCGTTTCCTTCTCAGGATCGAAGGATTCCCGCAGGCTCTCGGCCTCCTCGTCCAGCCCGTGCGTGGCGGCCGTCAGGAACGCCAGGGACTCTGGAAAAACGGGAATAACCACGGGAATAACCACGGGAAT